GTTAGTTAGTAGTACTATTAACTTAAAACTAAATAAGAGTAGGTAAGAGAGAGTAGAGAGTAGTAGTAAGTTAGGTTAGTTATGTCTACTACTACTAACTAGTAGAGAGAGAGAGAGAGAGAGAGAGAGAGAAAGAAAGAGAGAGAGTCTGAAAGCTTCTAAAAAATGTAGGGAGGCTGGAAACTTTTTATGTCATTTATTGTATTATTTGGAGAGAAGAATCCAACATGCTACGATAAGAACCCAAATGTGTCAGATTTGGTGTGTCTACATTAACAAAGAATTCAGTTTCTAGGATTCTTGTACTTGAAGAATCCAGAGGAATCCAGAAGAATCCGTACCTGTATCCATGTCCATACGTCTTCGACATGGGCATGGGGCCCATGTGAAAGAATCTATGTAACATAGATGCGAATAAACAGTTTGGAGAAACATGACATGCATGCATTTTGTTAGACACACGTCTGCTTTGTAAGACACATGTCTGCAGTATTGGGTACACGTCTATGATTTGGATGTCTTTGACTTGGACCTACATGTTATTATCCTTTTAATTAACTCTATCATTAGAAAATCCCAATTTAAATTTATATCTGAATATATAGACATGTATGGATCATACAGACTTGCATGGGCATGTTAAGTTTGACTTGGCAAAATATAGGGAGGGAAACCAGATTCTTCAGTTCCAGCTTAGAGAGATTCTCATATCTGTGTCCTTGTATCATAGGTCAAAGATGATACAAGCGTCCTAAATGCTTTTTGTCTCTAGAATTATCGAGTTTCTTTGAAACAATTAACATGTTGATCAGTTTAATACTTTTGAATGGATTATATCTTTGGCACTTCAGTTGTTTCTACATCCGAAGTAGAAATATCTAGTTCCTTTTTTCGATTACAAAGAACTTCCAGCTCTTCTTGCTCTCCTGTTAATCCATGTATTGATTTGAGGAGAACGTCAACTTATTGTCCTTATGTTGAGAGAATCCAAAATTTATGGTAGTTACAATCAAGCAATCACACCTGGCCTTTGGGCTGGTACTGATCTGGGTACATAAAGGTAAGCCTCTTCCAAGAGTTAAAAGGTGTATTGCGTTACTACCAATCCTTAATGCTTCTTTTAGCCATTCATTCACAGCAAAATCTGTCCTTGTATTCTGAAGTTTCTTCCTAGACTTGTTGGCAAGTTGTATGGAAGCATAGATGGTAATGGTGTCACCTAGGAATGTCGATCTACCTCCTTGACAATATGTTAGTTGTATTTTTATGTCATAATTAGGTGTATACCGTCTTAGTTATGGGACCTTGATATTATTTGCATTATTGGTTTGGTGATAAGGTATTGATGGGCACTCACAATGTCCAAAATTCAAGTCCCAACTAACCTTCCTTGGAAAAAAATTGTTCATAAGATTGAGGTGATATTTGTCATATTTGCGAAGATAACCATTGTCGGGGGTCTTGGAGCCACTATGATTATCTTGAAGGATGGGGTTATTGAACCTACATTATAAACTTGTATTTTGTTTTTTTTTGATATTTCCCTTGCTCTTTAGAACATTATGTACTGCTAGGTAGTCCTCTTTGAAGGTAATGTGATGATTGAAGCGAGGATCTTAATTCTTTTTCTACTTTACATCGTTCAGTGCATCTTTCTCTTTTTTTACAAAGAGAGAAGAAAAGAATAAGATACTGCAATGGACATAAAGAGGACTATGGTATAAAATTTTGTCTGAGACGTGCAATCTTCTGTAGTCCCTGATACATGTCTCCCTACCAAACGATAGACGTTTGTTGATAAATCATCATCCTTGCTACTTGATAGTATCATGGATTAATAATTTTCTTGCCATTTCTTTCGAAAGTTATGATAAAAATATTTGTGTTATTTGGCCAATTCTCTTAACATCATAATGCAATAATGTTGTTTCACAGGTGGAGGGGATGAACCAGTTGGTCTCTGAGCTTGCCAATGTAGCTGCTCAAGAGAGAGCTATGCTTGATGAGTGTGGACATCTGTTGGCTGCAACAGCAGCTGTGCAGGTGAGAGTTCTGCCTTTCCACATTTTCATGCCAGGTTTCTGTTTGAGGCTGATGATATTTCTCCTTTTATCTACGAACTTCAAAAGTTTTGTTAAAGCCAGTGTTACATGATCACATCCTTGGAAACAGGTAGAAGAGTCCAGCCTCAGGACACATCTGATACAGATGAGACGAGCTATCTGCAATGGAGAACAACCAAACATGGCTATGGAGACGTTTGTGTGAGACCCAACTCACGTATGATCAACATACTTTGCCAAGACTCCAAGTGGAGGTAATGGGAGGAATGCCCCCGCCCCCCCAACCCCCCACCCCCCTCGCTGCTTCTCTCTCTCTCTCTCTCTCTCTGGCACAATTTTTTATGCTGAGGGTGAGTGTGCACATAATTTCTTGGTATTTGAGATCTGTGCAGCCATCCTTATCCGTGCAATTCTTTTGTATTAGTCACATTCAAGAAATCAAAGGCAAGGTGAGATAAGGGAGCTGGTTCTTGCCGGATTTTCGAATTGCTCTCATTGTATATAAATTGCCTGTTTCTTTTCTTGTTTTGTTTCTTTTTCAGTGGTATGAATAAAAGAGGGAATAATTTCCACAAGTGTATGTGGTCACACCTTGAGTTAGCATTCTGTGAGAGAGAGAGAGAGAGAGAGAGAGAGAGTGTTTTGCAGTACATCCATGAATCTTCAGCAGAAGGGTGTCTCTGGCCAAATCTAGAGAACAATGATACCGATACATGCATTTTAGTTTTCCAAATCTTACTAGAAAGTTGTGATTTTAATACTAAGTTGTGATTTTAATACTGTATTAAAATGTGGGACTCACTTTCAAAATCTCTTTTTTCTTTTTAGGGTTTGCACGCATACTGTGCCCTTGCAGGAGAAAAAGTTTGCATTTACTCCGGCACGAATGTCCTACTTTGGAGGATTCTTTATAATATGCAATTTGGTATCATTTTAAAAAAATAAAAATAACACTTTTTTAAGTACCTAGCCATTTTGAGTATCTAACCATGTGTGTCCCATTCTCCCTCCATCATTGTTCGAAGCCATTGATTGGATAGTGATATCGGATATGGTGGTGTTACCGAGACCATGTCGATCATATTATATATTTTTCGAAGCTAAAATATACAATAAAAATGTATGAACTAATCAAATATGAAAATAAGAAAGTATAAAATGAGACCATTTACAATTTGGTCACATTAATATTTGACCATTGGATGTGAAATTTGGTGGCTACAATTATTTCATTGATCAAGTTTAAACTTCAAAAGAAACTTTTTCATACTTTGTAATACATCCAAGCTATCAAATTTCACATCAAATGGTTGTAAGGAATTGTGACCACTTTGTATCAAAGTTAAATGGTCTCATTATATACAATCCCAATGAAAATTTATACTAGATTTCCTATTTCCATTCCATACTAGTATAAGCATGTCAACCCCGGCTAATGTGAAGATGGACGGTTCACCCCAATCATTCATGTTGACATCAAATCTATGGAAACTAACTGTCCAAATATTTTTTTAGTAAAATTGTTACTTTTAGTTTTTAAAATTATTTATTTTTCATATTATGATTTCCATGTTAGAGATTACCTGATCTTAAAAATTAAGTCCTAAAATCCATCTAAAAATAGATTTATCAAGAGGGCTGTATTTTTACATATGCGGGATTGACCGCATAGAAACCGGTTCCTTTAAATTCATATATTCATATCTGATAAAAACATGGCCCACAGTATACAGCGCTCTTTCGGGAGGGGTTATATATTAAGTATGGATATAGTTTTTGAGTCCTACGGCTCGTATGGGTCCCTTCTCATGATTCGTTTTTAAGATGGATTTTGGACTCAATATATTAGGTATATATAATATCTATCATGGAATTCGGGAATTTGTTAAAAAATGAATTTTTAAAATTAAAACAATAATTCTTGAAGGAAAATTTTAAATCATTGATTTTACCCTTTCATAGACATGACAACCCCACATGGATTTTTAAGATGAATGTGTGAGGCCTCGGGCGATGCAAATGTAATGTTTCCCCTAGCGCCTAAACTACTTTTCCGCTATGCATAGCATCCATCAACGCAAATGGGAAAGTTGAGATGTACCATTACGCTCGTGTTTGTGGCGACATCTCAACAGATAATTATCAAGATCGAATTGACTGCCCAACTGATAAGGGATATGGCCCAATCGAAACCACCAATTTGGCTAAGTGAGTCGATTGGACTAGATTTAAAAAATAAAAAAATAATAAAAATATTATTTTTAAAATATGATATATATAAAAAAAAACTTTTAAACTTCGTTTAATCGGTCAAACAGGTTAAAACCGGATGGTTAGAAAATCAAAACCAGTCAAATTTTTATTTTGACAAGTTTTAGACCAAACTAGATTTTTGCTTTAGACCGGATCGGAAAATACTAGTCAAGTTGGGTAGTTCAGTCTGATCTTAAGAGCTATGATCTCAACCATCCATTTGTTTACAATGAGCAAATGAGGCAAGAATTACCACAAATAGTATGATTGAAATTATGGAGATAATATTTCTCATGGTAAATTTACCCCAAACAAAAAAGATCCATGTGCTTTCTACACAAGGTTTATTCTTACATAGTATTTGATTACTCTTTTCGTAAATTTGAGTTGTATCATTGTATTTTTTTTTTGGGTGAATAAAAATGAAAACTGAGCAACCACCTTTTACGCAATATAAGATTTGGGTAGTTTAATGGTAGGAATTGTACTTGAGATGTAGTGTTGCTTGATGTCAATTGTTAAATACTCGAGTCCAAGTCCGATTCCTTCATTTATAAATCCACCATCTCTTCTAAATGATAGACGAAGTGGATGATTTATTCCTTGAAAATGGTTCATCTCCATTATGTTATATGTTTTGTTTATTTATTAGTATAGTCTAAGTTGGGTTTATGTAGCCATTAAAGGCCTTATGATAGCCTCTATAAACATTTTATATAGTGATAGTGGGAGTGTGGTCCTCTTGTGAACCATACTAGGCAATTGCTATTTGCTGATACGCGGATTTGGCTTGATGTGCTAGGCCAGTTGAGTTGGAAAATCTAAGGTACTTGCGCATAGAGATAAACCGATGAGAGTTCAGTGGGTCATCTCTTGATGAGGTCGAAGTTGCCCAGATGAGTGAGCTAAGGGATTGTGTGGCCTTGTGGCTTTTAGAGACTGGGCCAAAACCTCATATATGTACCATCACATGGCATGTATATTGATAGCCGCATCGAAAAAGCAATCCACCATTGATGATGACGTGTGTACTTGTACGAGAGATTACTTTTATGCATCACAGAGCTGTGGTTGCATCATGGTTTGGGGGACTATGGATATGCCTCTTGGAAAGAACCTATAGTTCATAGAATGAGATTACATCCCCCAGTCTATTGGCTGACTTTAGTGGTCCAATCATGAACCTCTACAGTGGACTGTAGGTTATGGGAACCGCTGGGTTAGTTTGAGAAAGCAAATGTGGATCGTAGTTCACAGTTGCAAGTGGAGTTCTCCAATATATTCATAACTTCTAGACTTATACGAATCCGTTTCCCATCAAAACTAATTAGTGTTAATTAATTTTATGTTATATATTTTTTAAAATGATTATTTGAATTTTTGTGATTCTCTTGATATTTTATTTTGGATTTATAATATAAGAGAAATTTTATTTTCAATATTTTAATTAATCAAAGAGAAATAATTTTTATTTTTAAATTCTAAAAATCAATTTAAATATCCATTAAAATATGAGGACCCACCATATGGTATGAGACCCATTTAAATTGTCACATGATATAATTGGGTGGGGCCCACTTGGAGCCACCTAGACCTAGGATCGCATGCCCCACCCATAGGATGTTGGCTTTTTATTTTGTGGATTGAAGCCTCATGCGAAGTTGGATTTCTAATTTTATGTTAAGCCTTATTGGTTCATGAATCAAGATAATAAAAATTGATACGTTTTGTGAATCAAGATATTTGACTATTGAGGAATGAATATCTTTTTAAAAGAGAAAGTATGTTTATTTTTTTGTTATTTGAATTTTTTTTTTTATTTGAACATTTGATAGAAATAGGTTGGGAAATAGATGATAAGGTTCTAGCACTTTCATTTGAATCTTGATGGTGGATCTAATGAATAGATGACTCACATCTCTCACCCCACAAGTCTCATTAGATCATGGCCTAGATTTGATTTCACTAAAAATGACAAACCCTAAGCATTATAAAATTTATAGATAGGTGTCCCCTCTCCCCTAAATCTCTACACCTCTCCTCTTATCTTTTCTCTCTCTATGCTTTCTCTCTCTCAAAAGGCCACACCCCATTATGGAATATCTCTCTCTCTTGCAAAGACTTATAGAAAGAAAAAGCCCCCCCCCCCCTTAAACGGATCTCTCTCTCTCATATCTCTAGGTTAAACAAAGGGGGCTTAAAGTAGGTTAAGGCATTGAGGCCTTAGCACATTTGTTCTAGATAAAACCCATATGCTTTTGGAGGGTTTTGTCATACTTAATATAATCGAGATTGATCATTGATCCTGAGCATTATTGGAACGAGAAGACTTGGTATGGGGTATACTAGGTCCAGTTCAAATAATCTCTGGCAACTTTACTTGCTTTATTTTATTCTTTGTTGTGCTCTTCTATTCATATAAAGTAGTGTGTCAACTTTCATTTATTGAATAAAGGAGTTGTATTTAAGTGGTAGCAAGTGAAAACCAGTTTTTATTTATTTATTTATTTCAAGAGTTATTTTATTTATAATTGAACATTGTAAGTGATCTTATAGGTGGAAGAAAAGAAAATTTTGAATTTATATACACCGTGCTTTATCGCATTGTCCACCTTTCAGTCTTCACCATCAGTTCTAAATGATGGATGATCTTGATGATTTTTTCCTTGCAAATGATAAACTCATATACTTCCCTACATACAACCGTCCATTCTGAATAGACGGCTAAGATAGCCCCAATCACAATGTCATGTCTCTATGTTATTTTATTTTTAATTTTTTGACAAAATATTTTGAGATCAAATTCTAGGTGTCCATTCTCTCTTAAACTCACCTGTAAAAAATATTAATATCACATTCTCAATAAATCAGTGTTCAAAACAATGGATCGCGTTGACTAGTTGGTCTTAGCCAGATCCGATTAGTCCAATCAATTCCGGCTAGAACGGCCAATGGGTGCCGTGATTTTTTCTGAAAAATACAATTTTGGTAAAAACAAATCCAAAAAAATCTCAAAAAATCCCCAAAAAAATTGTAAAACATTGTAAAAAATGTTTAAAATTTACGTGTATTGCTTTTTATATTGTCACATAAGAAAAGAAAAAAATAAATATTATAAGCATAATTGGATTTTTGAGAAAATGATTAGGCATATATAATAAATATATATTATATATTATATACAGTATGTGATCAATATATTCTATGTAATATAAATTGCATTAATAAAATAAATATAAATATATAATATATAATATAATATTATAAAATACAATATTATTTCAACTCAAGACCATATTTGTTCTTTAGGTATTTTGGAATT